TACAACGGGGCATGTTGTCACATTTCACTTCCATTTTTTGAGGGTAAATAAAGAAAAACTTATACACTGTAATTATGAAACAAAGCGACATATTTGTACTAGACAAGTGTGAAATTACTGTGGATAAAAAAATATATACTCTGAACCCCTTGTGGATTTGGATTTACTACACAAACTGAGAAAGTCAAAAAGTGTTACTTTGTGCCCCGCTCTCCCCTACTCTATCTTAATCGCTACCATACACATCGTACACGCAGTTTATATCTGAACTATAAACTTTTCCCAGTACTTCTGTGATTTGAATGTTTGTAACACAGAAATAATGATACTGTGTGGCTGAAAAGACTGAAGCTGTTTCATTCATGACAGACAGCTGCTCTCTTTAGGTCAATGGTAGCGCTAACGCAAATGTAAATGTTCAAATCACACTGGTGTGATCGTGCTCTGCAGGGCAAACCAAGTGATCACAACATTGTGACTGCACACTTCAAAGGTTGAGGAATGAAACAGACGAATCATTGTAATGTAGGAATAGGCTAGAATCACGTTGGTGTTTGAATCGTGTTCGCGATCTTTAACGATCTATTAAATTAAAGTGCTTTGTCATGTTGGTGGTGACACCTCTCTTGCAACATATAGCTATCACAGACATTATACTTAGCTTTTTTGGCTTCTGATCGCAAATGTAGCCAAACTTTGGAGCGCTTAGATTAGCGAGCAAGGTCCTGGCAGATCGCTAGGTCCTGTACCGATGAAGAAGAAGAAGAAAAAAAAGCGCATAGGAATCGATAGGCGGAAGCGAAATTTTAATTTGACAACAAGTATCCATTCCTGACCTTAAGTATCCGATTCTAGAATCGGAATCGATTTTCGATTCCCAACCCTACTAGTAATGTAGGATAAGATTTTTTGTAATAAAGAAGTTGTAAACTGATGAATAAGGCTTACTAAGATAATAATATTAATAGATATAATAATAACAATAGCAATAATGCCCAACAATCTATACTGATTTATAATTATTCATAATTTATGTTTTATAACAAATACTTGATGATGCTGAATACTTGCCATGTGTTTGGTAAAAAATATAATAACAAACTACATTTACGAAATGGCCTAACAATAACTATTTGAAAATAAAAAATCTATTTTTTTGGCATTTAATTTAATTTATAATTTTTTAACAAGTACTTGATGATACTGAATATTTGCGATGTGTTTGCTACAAATATAACAACAAAACACATTTATGAAATGGCCTAACAATAACTATGAAAAACATATGGCTTTTTGTGCCTTTCATTTAATTTTGGTGATTAGATGCATTAATTAACTAATTAACTGAATATTAGAATATTAAACTAAAGGTGAGTAAATTGTGCACATAGTGAAATATTTTTGGGAATATTAGGAATTGTGCACAGCAAGACTCAAAGACAGCAGGAGTTGTACACCATGTAAACATACACACTCATAGATGACACATTTTGACCAGGGGTGAAAATGGAATGAATGATATTATAAGAGTGTGCTCTGATAGTGTGCTCTGATTGACAGTTACATTACTAAAAGAAGACTGTAATTTTCGATGCTGGCTTTTTAAACAGATACACGATCAGTCTCAAAAAGGCACATTTGCATACCAATAATGCTTGCATCCATCCCATCTACTTTCCTTGTCACCTTTTTAATAGTGGTCATCATTTGTACCATACACTTTATGAGATATTATGTATAAAGATGAGCCTCAATTCCCTGGTTCACATTTGAGACACCAAAATTGCTGGAAGAGGTGGTGATAAATGACATTTACCAACATTCCTCCAAGCATTTAAGAATGAATCAAATAAAAATAATACGTCTCATGAGGCAAAAGCTGCTCATAGGAGAGTTTATGAATAATCTCAACCTCATGCTAGGCTTCATCTAATCACTTGCTTTAAAAACAGTGCAGTAATTTGCAAATGAAAAACAAATACTTTTAGTTACAGTAGATCTTTACAAGCATGTGCTTTGCATATCAGTATAGCAGCCAGCTTCTAATTTTGGCTCACATGCTTAAATATTCTTCCGTTTCAAATTTCACTCCAGATTTAAATGAGTGCTAGTTAATTTAGTATAGAGTAGAGCTGCCTGTGGATCTATGCTAAGTTAAGACAAGGATGATTCATCCCCACTGTTATAAACGGTCCCACTGATATAAACAGTAGACAGGCATGTCTGGGTGGGGTATTTTTGTGCCTCTCTCCCTCAGGACCTGAACCCATCCCAGCTCACAGAACACTGAAAATATTTCTCTAATTAGCAGAAAGACATACCACACACACCTCTGGCACATTTACAGCCCCCTGTTCCTATCTTTGGCACATCTGAGCAAAGAATGTTCAAAACACCTTTTTTTTTATTCTTCTAGTAGTGTCATTCATTATAAATAGAGTAGACATAACAATGTGATGTATAGTAATGGCAGAATTACGCAAATGCTGAAACTGTTACATAATTAATTAAATCAATGAAACTATGAAAAGTGCACAAAAAAATAGATTTTACAAAATAGTTTTTTTTAATCCTAATCCCAGAACATAATAAACGTATTTATGTCTTACTTTTATCAGACAAATATACCAGTTTAATTTTTGGTTTAATTTGTTTGGATTTTATTTTATTTTATTTGAATAAGAAAAAAGGGTCTGTAGATGACATTAGCTGTAAAAGGTTAAAAAAGACAAAAATTTCTTATGATTTCAAGGAAACATTTGAAGTATGTATTGGACATTATTTGAATAGAACAGGGTATTTACACACTGTAACCGATTTTTGTAATTTGAACAGTATTTTACTGTAATATGTACAGTAAGATACTGTAAAATGTGTATACAGTATTTTACTGTAAACAGCAAAGGATTATGGGAAAATATACGGTCACTACTGTATTTCCTCACTACTGTAAATCAATTTTTCAATCAAAAACTAACCAATGGCAAGGGAGTTCTTTTTTGACTGTTTGGTGGAAGTGGCTGTAAAAGGACAAAAGAGAAATGCACCGTTAACTCGACAAAAGGTTAGTATATTATTTCTGTTTTATGCAAAACTGCGATATTTTCAGATGTTTACACTTGTTAACAGCAAACTAACATTATTCATCGTGTCATTTTTCATGTTGGGAGTTGGAGTCTTTTTTTCTGACAGATGGCCGGAATGCCACCAAAAGGCTGATAACATCGACTGGTGAGTAAGTTAAGGTCACCTATATTAGACAAAATGAACCTTAGTTAAACCAAGAAACACGTTTGTACATTCTGCTGCCCTTTAATGCAAGTTAGCTCCTCTGGCGAGTCGTTATTTAACCTTAACAGCGAATTAACGTGAAATACTGAGGTAAAGTGCGTTAGGCAAACCACTGTTTCAGTGGAGATTTTAAACAGCATTTTCTAGTACTTCTTTTGTTAGTTATTTTCAGATTTCTAGTCTGGATGTAGTCTGCAACGTCGGAGGTTTATTTTGGATCATCTTCTTGTGAATGCCATAGTATGGATGATAACATCAACTGGTAAGTTAATAATGTAATTTAGCCGAAGTTAACTAACTTAGTTGAACAAAGAGAAGCATAGTAAGTTATCTTCTCTACTCTGCCTCTTTATCGCAACTAACTCTGCCTGTTAACAAAAATTCAAACCATAAAATAAAAAATAAATGTTTTATGTGAAATACAATAAATATTAGCTGAAATAAAAATATTACAAAATTCTTTTATTTCAGTTAGTGGCCGAGACTTTTCTTATTTTCATTTAATTTTACTTGATGTACTAAAATAACTAAAACTAAAACTGAAATAAAAAAGGAATAAAAACTAAATAGACAATTTAAAAATAATTATAATCATTAAATAAAACTTTAACTGGAATTAAAATGAAGACAGAAAATGTAAAAATGAAAACTAATTCACAATATTAAACAAAAACAGTATCTCAATGATACTAAAATATCACTAAAACAGAATAGTTTAATACAAAAAAAGACACTATGCACTGTAAAAAAAAGTACTATATGTCTAACTTGACTTGAGCCTTTGGGCATCAGTTTTCAGAGCAACACTTCACAGTGGAAATTCATGCAACTGTGCAACTTCTGCCTGGCTGACCCCACAGCCGTGTGTGAAATGTGACACGGCCCTTGGTTTCCCCTTCAAGAGGTGCTTTTACCAAGTGGATGAGTTATGGACTGGCGAGTATGGGCTGTGTGGGCCAGAATAGGTAATGGGTGGGGGTAGAGGAGGGGTAACATACAGTAGGGTGAGACAGTCAGCTTGAGAGAGAGAGAGACAGACAGACAGGACCCTTCTTTAGACAGGAGCCACGGCCGGCGCAGCTGTCCCTAGCATTCCTGGCGTGTCATCAGTCCACAGATTGGAGAATTAAAAGGGACTAAAGACTGTGGGGCCATTCTGACATTTTTCCTTTGGTTGCTGACTTAGTTTGCTTTACTCTTCTTCCTTCGGACACTTCTGCATTACATCTATCCGACCAGTCTTGGGCCAGAGGCCCCCAGTATGGCGGACCAGTATAACACCAATGAGGAGAAAATTCTGAAAGATAGTCACACCAAGGAGATTGATTTGATCAACAGGGACCCTAAGCAGATCAATGAAGATGTTGTCAAGGTACGTGTAATTGTTGGTTTTACAGAAGTTCTGGTGTGTTTGGCACTTAAAACCTAGTTGATAATTTCAAATTAAATGCCATTAAAACAAAAAGAAAGTATTTTTGCAAAGTATTTGCAGAAGCTAATAGCTTGCACAAAAAAAATAGCCAAATAAGCATATACTTGACAGAAATATGTATATATAACTTTATGAGAAACTGATAAAGCATGCAAAATATTCACTAACTTCCTAAATGGTGGAATCGATACGTGTGGATTGGCAATCTAGTCCTTAGAGACAGACTTGCTTGCGTGTGAGCTGCATAACACTTTATGCTGTAGCTACAAGGCATGACACAAAAATAGCACTAAACCTACTTCATCTGGCAGGACAGGCCATACTATCAGTATTTATAGAAGGAGGTAAAAGGGTGTGTCAGACAGCAAAATGTATTACTTCTTCCCATGTGTTTTAATAATTCATTATAGATTAGTAGGGGAAATTGTGCAATTTATTTAATTTTGACTATTGAGCTATGTACAAATCATAAATTACAGTCTGGTATTCTTTCTCTTTTGACTGAGTGTACGATCACTGTTGTGGTTATAGCAACAGAAATCAGAAATCATTCTAATGTGCTGATTTGGGGCTCAAAAATATTTATTATTATTTTTTAGCAGATAATCATATATTATTATTATTGAAAGTTTTGCTGCTCTATATTTTATTTATATATTTTTGAAAACCATGATACTTTATAGTTTAGAATTTTTTTGTAACAATGTAAAAAGTATTTCCTGTCACTTTTGCTTTAATGTAATTCTTGCTGAATAAAAGTATGTATGTATGTATTTTGAGTTTTAGATTTCCAATAATCTCTGTCTTATTCAAGCAACTGGGTTTAATTCCAAATGTTGTCAGCACTATGTTATACTTGTCTTAACTACATTTTTTCATATTTACCAAAGATCAGATTATTCTGTGTCAGCCCTTAAATAGATGTTATGTAAAGATTTGAAATAACGGTCTGAAATACTTCCTCTTAAATACTCTGCAGTTGTTATGAGATTGAAGCTAAAATAAACAAGGTGCCAGACTGCCTTCTACTGATGGGGGATTTTGATATCAAATGTCACTGTTTGGAGAATTAATCATCATCCATTAGGAGCACAAGCAGAAGAGAACCCATGCCAAATGCCTGCCAAATTACTGACAATGACATTTGTTTGCACAATATACTAATCAGGTTTTGGCAACAAATCTCTGGTTTGGATATTTGTACTAACCAGCAAATGTTGTCTCCCCCCTTAAAAAAAATTCAAGGTGGATTTTGAGGATGTGATAGCCGAGCCCGACGGCACCCACAGTATGGATGGAGTGTGGAAAGGCAGCTACACCACCTTCACCGTCTCCAAGTACTGGTGCTACCGTGTGCTGTCGGCCATCTTTGGCATCCCAGTGGCGCTGCTGTGGGGCTTCTGTTTTGCCTGCATCTCCTTCTGTCACATTTGGGCAGTCATGCCCTGCATTAAGAGCTATCTGATCGAGACCCATTGCCTGAGTCGAATCTACTCTCTCTGCATTCATACCTTCTGTGACCCCTTGTTTGAAGCTCTAGGGAAAATTTTCAGCAGTGTACGGGTGGCATTACGCAAAGAGGTTTAGATTTTCAAAGTTCAAAGTCAAAGTTTTCAATGTTCAGTCCTTGGAGGAAAATGTTTTATTTTACACATATCTAATTTTGGAGTGTGGATTTTGAGGTCCCTAAAAATGAAAAGACCACATGAATAATAGAATGCATATTTCCCCTGGATGGTTAATCCTATGCGTTGTTTTTTTTCCTCAGTTTATGTTAGAGGCTTTGGGAGCAATTCAGGATTAGGCCACCTGCTTGTTCAGAGAGACATATGATGAAAAGCCTCTCTGACTGACAATGGAGAGTAAGTCTTATCTGATATCATGGGGTTTCTCTCTTTTTTTTGTTTGACAGATTTAAAATGGGATGTTGCTGAGTGTGGTATTTTTATCATGACAATGTCAGATATGTTCTGTACAACTAAATTAAACATTTAAATGTAAATAATAGTTGTTTGAATTATGTTTCATATGTGTTTGAAGTAAGTTTGCTACACTACAGCAATTAATTAAACATCAAATTTTATGCCCCCAAAATCTGACACTGAATAAGACATTGGAAATAATTTTACCTTTAAACTGATGCCATGAATTCATGATGAAATGTGTTTCATTCTTTCTTTAATTTTACGTTTTTCTAAAACCCACTTTTCCCTTAAATACCAAATGGTTCAGATGTCCAAAAAAAAAACAAAAAAAAACATGACTATGCAATTTGATCTATTTGCTTTCAACCCCTCACTTTAGTTGGCTTATTATATTCCACTTTTCAACACATTTACTCACAGTCAGACATATCAACACACAATTTATTTCAATAAATAAAAGCTACAGCTACACATATTGAATGTAAATAGGCAGCATATTTTCCAGGAGGAAAAATCTGTAGCTTTTTAAATGGGAAGTAACAAGCATTTCAGTGAATAGTGTATTTAAACCTTGTAAAATAAATATTTTCTGCTGTTAATACTGGTCTGCCTTTATCATTTTCTTTATCCTTCTAATCTTGCAGCACTCATAAACAATTATGTGACATTTCTTGTAAACAAGGATATTTTAGAATATTTTATAAAGATGAAGCAACAAACAGGCAGAAATCAGTTTTTCGAGCGATATTAAAGCAGCACTATGTAACTTTTGGCGCTCTAGCGGTTTAATAAACAGAACTGCACACATCGCGCGGAAGAACATTCCAACCGGAGCTACTTCTCTAAGTTTATGTCTATGGTGATTCACGCAGGTATGTGTTACTCCGCAGCGGTGACGACCCGACCAGGCTACAATAGTCCAAATATAAGTACTTATTAGAAGTGTACTGTAGTGATTCGGAATGACAAAAACGCGGTTTGGAAGATTAATTCATTATGTATTCGCTCATTATATACATTTTGCAAATTTTGAACACAGAAAAAGTTACATAGTGCTGCTTTAAGCAAAAGATGTAACTGGAATAAACACTTTAATCTCATTGATTACAAACACTCTCTCTTACAAGACAAACATCCATAAAAGTGAGGGAGTAAACAATCAGTCCTTGACTTTTTGAAAACAAATGGTGTGTTTGTCATATTTGATTACCATGATGCATTGCAGAAACATTTCGCAAAGAGATGTGGTCCTTTGGGCATGACAGTAAAGTTTACATGTGAAATGATAAAGAACAGTGATAACAACAACCACAACATGTATGTGCCAAAAATGAAAAGTGCTGTGTTCTTAAAACAAACAAAGGTATTCTCTTTTGACAAGTCAAGTTCATTCAAAAGAGCAACTGGCCATGTTTCTCATCAGGTTTCAGAAGAAACACTTCATGTGTCATCAACATCTTGTTTTCATCTGTGTGTTGTTAACCTCCTCATCTTAAATCCATGTGTGAACTCTTTCGTGTAGTGAGTGAAAGTTGCTTCCCTTTAACCCATAAAATGATATAACCCTGTCTTCAATACAAAGTAAGTCAAACTTGATGTTTTACAATAAGTACTGAAAATTGTATTACTTTTCACTGCAAGGGGGAGACATGAGGATGAGTAAATTATGAATTTGAATTTTTGGGTGAACTATCCCTTTACGGTTTAGTGGGTTTTGCATGTTTATATCATATCGGGGCTATTTACACTTGGACACTCTAAGACATTTAAGCATGACAGAAATCCAATCTGTTGGTTTGAGACTCGGCCAAGAGTAAATCCATCTGGTTGTTGAGGCCATGATTGCAAACTTTGCTCCTACTAAACACATCTGTGTCATGGCATTTTGTGAGCCCCAAACAGAATGTGGCACATTATGGTTATCTTTTGTACCACAATTGTCAAAGATAATTCAGCCACATCAAGTGCAGCCAATTTAGGTGCCCATGCAGCACCAAGACACGTTTATGTGACCAAAGTGAATGCGCATGCACAATCAGATAGCAATTCAAATGACGTGTGGCTAAATGTAAATAGACCCATAAACATGGTCTGGAATCGAATGACATTCCTTCTGTAATGTCTAGAAAAAGGTAAGGAATAGATTACTGCTGCTCAAAGTCCTCAGAGATAAAGAAAACGAAGTGGAGTAATTCAAATGACATTCTGAATAATTGCCAAACCAAAACACAGCTGAAGCAAACTGATTGTGACATTTGCAGTATTGTGTGGGTTTATATTTGAGTTTTCATCTGGCTTTCAAAAATGTGAAAAACCTGGTTTTGAGGTATGTCTGGTTTATGTGACAGAAGTCTGGGTAATACTTCGCTGGCTGCTGGTACTTTTGATGACGTAGGTGGAGGAGTTGCTCTTACGGGAATCTTGCTCCGGATCACAGCGGCACTGAGAGGACTTCAGATAGAGAGTGGAACAGCACAGCAGGTTCTGCTTCAGGTCATGGAAAAGATGCCCAGCAAAAAACATGTAGATCCAGGGGTTACAGCAGCTGTTCAGACTGGCCAGCAACATGGAAATGATGAAGGGCATTGCTGTGGAGAAGAAAACAGCTTTAAATACACAATGAAAAGAGTAGAACATTGTACTTCTACTGTGTGGTCTTGTTTTAACCTGTTCAATATTGTCAGTCCTTTCATAATCCTGTGTCTAATGTTACAAAAAAATTACACATTTCACCTTTAAAAGTCAAATCAACATTTCTGAAAACTTTCAATTTTACATTGGAAAAAAAGTGGTGTAGAAACAATTTTCACTCTTCACTCAAATTCCTAGTAAATTTCACAAACAGCAAGTGAATTATGTGAAATTCTATAGTTGAAAAATTGAAATTGTATTTTCTTTTAAAACATACTCTAATAGAATTTTTTATTTTTTACAACAAAAAGCTTTTTTATAGTGTATTATGTTCAGTTATATTAAAAATATTTTCTTAATTTGTATTTTACACAAGCACAAATGTAAAACTAAAATATCTGCATGTGATCTTGATTCTATAAGTGGCATTTACTTTAAAACTGATATTTGATATAAATGATATACAGTAAAAGGTGTTTTTTCAAGGTTCTAGATAAAACAACAATTATTAGAGTACAATTTACAAGAAAATACATTTTTCAGTCTTCTAAATTTCAAGTTTAATTTAATGTGTTACTTGCTTGTTTCAAAGTAAATTCTACAGCATTGTTTTTTTTAAGGTAGTGTCCTTTATTTAACTTCACATATCTGATATTAGTGCAGCTCAAATTGGAATAAACAGCTGCAGTTCTGGGGAAGATGAAAACATTACTGGGCAGACATTACAAGCTAATTCAACAGTCATTTGTAAAGCAAGCGATTTATTTTGACTACAGTATCTTGATAAGGGTCTGTGCCACTAGGCTGTTTATCTTTAGAAGTCTAGAAACAGGGGGAAAGAAGGAAAGCTTCATTTAACACTGTCCCAAGCTCTGAAAATGCTTTATCACTCCCTACAATCTATGCATTCACTATGCGGCATTAAAAATAAATTGGTATGAGAAGCATGATGTGAGACAACTTCTTTATTATAAAAACAGTGTTGGTGGACCGTGGTGTAAACAGTAGAATCTGTCACTGAGCTTCTTTATGATCTTTTACAAACAAGACAAATTTAGACAGAATAAACAACATGTTGTTTGCTAGCTCATAGCAATGCGGAAAGATCTGTTAAACCAGAAAGCAGGAGACGATTGACTGAGGTAAACTCGTTTTGCTTCTATTGTGTTTGGGAATCATGGGAAAGAGGTGTTTTCAGGCATGAATAGAAAAGAAAATCCCCTTTAACCCTTATTGTTTTTATAACATGCAGCGGCACTGAGAGGATTTCAGATAGAGCGCGGAGCAGCACAGCAGGTTCTGCTTCAGGTCATGAAAGAGATGCCCAGCAAAAAACATGTAGATCCAGGGGTTACAGCAGCTGTTCAGACTGGCCAGCAACATGGAAATGATGAAGGGCATTGCTGTGGAGAAGAAAACAGCTTTAAATACACAATGAAAAGAGTAGAACATTGTACTTCTACTGTGTGGTCTTGTTTTAACCTGTTCAATATTGTCAGTCCTTTCATAATCCTGTGTCTAATGTTACAAAAAAATTACACATTTCACCTTTAAAAGTCAAATCAACATTTCTGAAAACTTTCAATTTTACATTGGAAAAAAAGTGGTGTAGAAACGATTTTCACTCCACTCAAATTCCTAGTAAATTTCACAAACAGCAAGTGAATTATGTGAAATTCTATAGTTGAAAAATTGAAATTGTATTTTCTTTTAAAACATACTCTAATAGAATTTTTTATTTTTTACAACAAAAAGCTTTTTTATAGTGTATTATGTTCAGTTATATTAAAAATATTTTCTTAATTTGTATTTTACACAAGCACAAATGTAAAACTAAAATATCTGCATGTGATCTTGATTCTATAAGTGGCATTTACTTTAAAACTGATATTTGATATAAATGATATACAGTAAAAGGTGTTTTTTCAAGGTTCTAGATAAAACAACAATTATTAGAGTACAATTTACAAGAAAATACATTTTTCAGTCTTCTAAATTTCAAGTTTAATTTAATGTGTTACTTGCTTGTTTCAAAGTAAATTCTACAGCATTGTTTTTTTTAAGGTAGTGTCCTTTATTTAACTTCACATATCTGATATTAGTGCAGCTCAAATTGGAATAAACAGCTGCAGTTCTGGGGAAGATGAAAACATTACTGGGCAGACATTACAAGCTAATTCAACAGTCATTTGTAAAGCAAGCGATTTATTTTGACTACAGTATCTTGATAAGGGTCTGTGCCACTAGGCTGTTTATCTTTAGAAGTCTAGAAACAGGGGGAAAGAAGGAAAGCTTCATTTAACACTGTCCCAAGCTCTGAAAATGCTTTATCACTCCCTACAATCTATGCATTCACTATGCGGCATTAAAAATAAATTGGTATGAGAAGCATGACGTGGGACAACTTCTTTATGAAAACAGTGTTGGTGGACTGTGGTGTAATCAGAAGAATCTGTCACTGAGCTTCTTTAAGCTCTTTTACAAACAAGACAAATTTAGACAGAATAAAAAAACACATTGTTTGCTAGCTCATAACAATGCTGAAAGATCTGTTAAGCCAGAAAGTAGGAGATGATTGACTGAGGTAAACTCGTTTAGCTTCTATTGTGATTGGGAATCATGGGAAAGATCTCAGGCATGAATAGAAAAGAAAAACCCCTTTAAACCTTATAGTTTTTATAAAATGGTGGCAGCAACAGTACACCACACTGTTCAAAAGTGTGCAGTCATAAAATGTATGTATTTATTTTTTGAAAGAGATGAATATTTTTATTCAACAAGCACACATTATATTGATCAAAAGTGACAGTAAAGACATGTATAATGTTATAAAGATTTATTTAGCAGCACAGCTGATCATGTGACACTGAAGACTGGAGTAATGGTTGCTGAAAATTCAGCTTTAGCATCACAGGAATAATTTACACTTTGATACAATATTACTGTTCTATACTGTATATTTCATCAAATGAATGCAGCCTTGGTGAGCATGAGACACCCCAAACTTTCAAGCGGTGGTGTAGCCTACTGTAATGACATCAACGATCAATGAACAGTATTTTGTTATTATTAATAATTTAAAAAAAAATTAAACTAAAACCTAAGCTAGAGTGTGCTGTCCATAAAAATAAACCGCAGTTACAGGTGTAGGTGTATCAACATCTCATCTGAAAGCAGCTCTTCAAGTCAGAACTTTAAAAACTGCTTTTACTAAAACTTCCTTTTACTAAAAATGTCTCAACTATCCCTTCTAATGAACCAAACTAAGACACAAACTGACAATCCATGTTCAGGGATTTACACTTGAGAAAAAATATCTAAAACCCGCACCTCAAAATGCACAGAAAACCAGTACAAACATCTGAGCACTAACATGACATGAATCACCATTAGAATACTGACAAGACTTTGCAATGCATTGCAACTTGGGTAGTCCTTAAATACTATTGTTAATGTCCAAAGAAGAAATGAGAATCAGGTGATGGTAACCAAAAGACTCATTAGTATTCTGGTGGTGAGATGACGTGTACTGCGATTAAACGTGACATGTCTATATGGGTCTATATATATCTCACTCTGACAAAAGGATGATGCATGAGGGTAAAAACGAAGAATCTGATACATGAACCATGAACCCATCTGAGCCCTTTCCCCAAACTCTTTCTGAAAGTGCACTGTGGTGAATTTTAAAAAGACCTGACTGTGTCAGGAATAGAGAAACAACCAACTCATGCTTGTTGGGCTACGTACACTAAACAAATGGTGGAAAATACATCCAAAGGAAGAAATATCTTGGAGATCGACTATGCTGGGGTTTTTTTTTTCCTGGCGCAAACAAGAAGGTGAGAACATCTTAAAACATAGTTTATAAACTATGAAACCACACATTTCTGTGCATTTGTGTGCCAACAGAGGGCTAGAACTAATTCCCAACATTCAACAAACAACCATCACAGATTTAAACAAGACCAACCTAGTAACCTAAAAGCAAACTTGGCAACTAAATAATATACAGTGATCAAAAAAAGTTCAAGATCCAAACAGATTGACGGGAACTTGTTCAGTGTACGTTTCTGTGCACTTGTGTTGTCATGTGCATCAAACCTCCAGACATAACGTTTCTGCGTTTGATTCTGTAGTCTCTCAGAGAAAAGGAAATTGAATTTAGAAATGAAGGAGTAAGCAACAAACCCAGATGGGGCTTCGGTCAAGTGTATTGCTTTTCTGTTTGCTACCTCCTATTTGTGCTGAGCTTACAGGCATCAGAGAAAACTGGGCAAGCACATCTCTGTACCATCGGCAGTTGGATCGATGAACAGAGAGAGAATGAAAGAGAAGATTCTTTAATATGAAGCTCTGAAAAAGAGTTTCCAGGCTGCTTTAGATATTCAGCACACTTCAAGTAAGATTCACAGAATATTTTTAGATGGATGCAAAGCTAGAAGATATATAGAAGAAATAGATAGATCTATTTTAGCACATTTTTTCCCCATCAGTCTAAAAATTATTACAGTATTAAAATACACTACGGTTCAAAAGTCTGTATGTTTTTAAAATAAGTTTCTAATGCTTACCAACGCTGCATTTAGTTGAACAAAAATACAGTAAAAAATAGTAATCTTGTGAAATATTTTTACAATTTAATATAACTTTTTTATTTTAATAAATTATAAAATATAATTTATTCCTGTGATGGCAAAGCTGAATTTTCAGCAGTCTTTACTCCAGTCCTCAGTGTCACACGCTTTTTCAGAAATCATTCTAATATGCTGATTTGGTGCTCAATAAACATTATGACATTGTTTGCTATATATAGCAAACAATTGTGCATTTTAATATTTTTCTGGAAACTGTAATCATTTTTTTTTTATTCTTTGATGGAATTTTAACAGCATTTATTTGATATTTTTTTGTGACTCTAAAAGTCTTGTTAATTTTGATAAAAGTATTAATAAAAAGTATTAATGTCTTTAAAAAAATCATACTGACCACAAACTTTAGAAAGGTAGTGTACAGTATATTTACAAAATTAAAGATAAAATGTCCTTGCAACGCAACTCTTTATTTTAGGAGCACTACAGTTCAGTGAGTGTCAATTGTCCAAATGTTTATCTGATTTGGACATTTCTGCAAAGATTTTTACTGTCCAAAAAAATGAGAAATGCTTAGTGGAAAGCTGTTTTTCTATTGTAATTCCAGTAAGTGTCATGGCGATGAGACCAAACTAACGGCCAAACCTGCAATGACATTGCCAAACCCAACATTAGTCTCAAAATAAAGCAACCATACATACATTCAACTGGAAGACACCGTTTTCAGCTGTCATTTAATCCTATCAGAGCTGCAGCTGAGATTTGAGCACATCAGATCATCAGTGTTTTTATTTAGTTTTTTTAAAACTCATCCCTTAGCATCAGCCAAAAGAAACGGCTCTTATTTCACACATTCGGAGAAATGTCTAGTAACTGGATTCCACTATGGCTGTGTCAGCCACTGCTGATGCATAAATCTGTTCAGCGTTGTCCTAATATTTAGACTGTGTGAATGTTTTGCTGAACTTGCCATAATGTGTGGATATTTTGTATGGTGGAGGTCATGATACGAGTGAGTATCTCTGGGTCTGATAATATTTAATCTTTGTCTCTAAAGTGTGCAACATGTGACCTTACCTTACTCTTTTTATTGCCGCAAGACAAACATGGTAAAACTCATGGCAAGAATATTGTTCACTGACATTTTCTTTCAAACACACAAGAGTAGCCATGCAGTACCCTTAATGTTTTGGTAAGCTGATAAGTTTTAGGGTTTCTGAATGTTTCTTGTCTACTGAAAACCTGGACTTTTGTGTGCATGTAAAAACAAAATGAATATTTGTATAACAATTTGTCGAGCACATGATTTCATCATATGTAATATTAATGTCTTATAGCATTCTTTTACATATTCAAAACAACAGTTATTTATCATCAATTCTCCCTGGGTTTGTTTGGGTTGGTGATTTCTCATACTGCAGACAGTCATGATTTAAGTGTTGCAGCTCTGCTGAATATTAATGTTTCCCTGAGACTGGTCTTTATGGCTCCGCCGTTTTTTAGCAGACTACATCTGTAGTGATTTAAAGTTAAGATGCCCATCACAGCAATCCTAGTTCTGTACTGGCAAAACCTTCTTATCAGAAGAATTACAATATATCAAAACCAGCTTCTTTTCTCGAGTCTTTGAAAGAATGCAATGTCATGGTCAGAAACCATCTCACATGATTCTGAAACTCATTAGGCTACCTTTTTGAATTTGTTCAAATCTTATCTGATAATTGTATTTTCAACTGTAGCCTATACTTTTCGAACATGCAAAAAGCTTTCCATGTTCAAATATGTTAGCTGAAAATACATTTATAATTCTAGAAAAAAATGGTAAGACGGGAAACATTGTGACATCGGTATACAGGACTGAAAACACTATCATACATGAACACCATCCTGCTGAGGTGACAGTAGAACCTTACGTTTTTAAAATACACAGCCTTCAGATTTCATGTTTGAGGTATGACTGATTTAATTTGTCTTCGAACAAAATAGGAAGCCTCTTTAAGTAAAGTTACATATCTTACTCATTAATGGAAAACCACCATCCTCGACGGAACTTCTGAGTGAACTCACCACAGTCTTCTGGGTTGGCTTACAAACTGATGTCATAACTGAGCCTACTGTAGGATATCTTCATTTTGTTTAATTAGAGGGGTGCTTTAATATAAGTTTCAGAATAATAAGGCTATAAAAAATATTTTTGAAAGTTCTTTATTTGATCTGGTTTTTGTTTATTGACTGATATTTAGCAATATTCATGTCCTTTTTTATTTTATTTGAATTTTCCATGATTTAGGCCTAGTATATGTAAACATCGTGTTCATGATTTAATGAAAATGTAAAATGTAAATTAAAAAAAAACTTACAAACTGATGTCATAACTGAGCCTACTGTAGGATATCTTCATTTTGTTTAATTAGAGGGGTGCTTTAATATAAGTTTCAGAATAATAAGGCTATAAAAAATATTTTTGAAAGTTCTTTATTTGATCTGGTTTTTGTTTATTGACTGATATTTAGCAATATTCATGTCCTTTTTTCTTTTTTATTAATTTTCCATGATTTAGGCCTAGTATATGTAAACATCGTGTTCATGATTTAATGAAAATGTAAAATGTAAATTAAAAAAAAATATATTAACACTCTTTCCATTAAAAAGTTGCATATTTTAAAACAATATCACCAATCTTCAGATTATGAAACAGCACTTGCCATTTAATAATTTAGATAACCCTTAAAAGGTATGCCTTTTAAAAATGTTTTTACATTTAAAACACTGGCTTGGCTGGCTTTTCCATTTGTTGACATAACATGGTTAGATTCGGATGGTAAATATTATAAATTAAGCTGGGTGTCCACCTTATAGAGATAACCACCATATTTATAATGAAACCATCATATGTCATATAAATATGATATTATAATATCATATGATTTTAATCAAATCATATAATAAAATGACATTTATTGTTACTACTGTAATGCTATATTAAACAAAAATAAATGATTTTATTGATCAAAATAATCAGAAAATAGTACAAACTTTGCCAAAGTGATTGTTTTGAACAAGTATTAACTTATTTGTATAAATACTTTGTGTTTTACCCCGTGTTTGGTGTAAAAGGCCCACCTGGTCACCTCATATAAGATTTTTAAACTAAACAACCCATTTATGATTTATTTTAACACAAAATCTGGTGCTCCATCAATGTTCAATAAAACCTTTTTTTTTTCTGCACTCATACAAAAACTTGAAAACCTTTTTGTAACTGCCACCAAAATATAAATGGAGTCAAAAATCCCCAACTAATTATTAATCTTTGCCTCATGGATGCCACAAACTACACTAAAGTTAACAATCACCCCTGTGCTCAATAACAATTTCGAATGGCACGTGCGTAAAATGTTAATCAAACCTTTAAAAGAAACTCACCTTCCCTTGGTGCTTCGGGATCCCATGCTGACCACATCTGTACGGAGAAAAACGGAGTCCAGCACACTATATAAGCCAGTACGATAACAAAGGTCATTTTAACGGTGGTGATTTTGGCCTTGGAAATGAGTTTGACACTGCTGACCCGCGCGAGCGCGCTGCCTTTCGATGTCTTGGGCGTGAGAGTGATACACTGGTCCTTCTTAGTCTTCCTTTTAAAGTTTTGCCATATTTTAAAACTTATCAGTCCGTAGCAGACGCTCAGAATGGCCACTGGTATGATGTATATTGTCAGACTAATCCACGTGATGTAGGCTTTCGCTCCCCACGGCTGCACGAAATCTCCCCAGCAATCATATACTCCTGAACCCACCTCCCGTAAGGAAAATATATAAACCTGTGGGATGCTGAAAAGTAAGCTTAGTGCCCAAGAACAAATCACGTAACAGCGGTCCTTTTGCTTGTGTAAAGAACGAAGGGGCTGGCAGATTGCCATACATCTGTCTATGGACATCAGCACCAGCATGTACGTGGAGGCGAACATCCCAACGGTCTGAAGATACTTCACCAACCTGCACAGGATGTCTGGTCCATAAAAGCGAAACGTGATGTCCCAGATGAGTTGAGGAAGTACCTGGAAGACAGCCACGACCAGATCTGCAATGCTGAGGTGCTTCATGAAGTAGTACATGCGAGATTGACTGTGCTTGGCCGTGTGGATTGCAACAAGGACGCAGAGGTTACCAGCGAGTGCCAAGAAGAGCACCAAGGCCAATACAGTGACTTCCACTTTTGCCACCTCTTCGTTCCGCTTCAGCGGGTTCACCGTCTGGTTCACGCCGTAAGTTTCATTGTTGACGCTGGAGTTTCTAGACGACTCATTGGACCATAAGTCTTGATCCTTGAAGATGTCCTCCATGGTGCCAAAAAGCGCACGCCTACTTCTCCACAAATGTCAGAACTGATTAGCTTTCCTCGGGCATAATCAGCCAGTACGTAGATAACCCTTTAACTTAACAGGTGGCACGACAAGGATCTCCAGGAATAGGGAAAGTCCTTTGCTGCTTGGTGGTGATCCCTCTGCTGTTTTTAACCTTTACTGTGAACTATATAAACATAAGAAGCATGGATTTTTTTTTCTTTTTTTGGTAATCCATCACATTTAGCCCTATATTTCATTTACCATGTTTTTTATGAATTATAAATCAAATTGATGCATTAAAGATTCAATCATCCAGTCATTATAAAATATAATTCTTTTTTTTTTATATTGCAAATATATATTATTTTACATTGTAAATATAATTTTTAATGTGCAAGTACTTACAATTATTATCCATTTCATCAGATTGTCCAGCTGCTGGCAGAGTAGGTGTAAAGGAGAGTCCTAGAGGTGGAGAAGCTGCTTTGCTCTCACTCAGCTCACACTGAATGGAGCGCGTCACGATATCAAGCACTTGTACATCTTCTCAATGGTTCTCCCTGCCCTAACTTACCCACGACTTCCACTGGGGGTCCTTGTGCTCTATTGCAAAACAGTAAATTCCTCTGAAATAGTCTGGATGACATCAAATGTTTTCAGTGTGCTTTCTTGCATGTTGACTGCCTTGTAATCTTTTCTTTTTATTAAGGGACCATTTATGATAAACAAAGCTAATGTTAGTGCAATAAAATAAAACAATTTAAAATGGGAATATAGTGAAAACTATTTTTTTTTGTATAACAGAGAAAAAATACACAATATCCTTAAACTAAATGCAATTCTGCATGTAGATACTAATATTACTCAGCAGATATCTTTCTCAAGTACATTAGCACAACAATATTTGACTAATTCATACAAAATATCAGCCAACACTGTTATCGTTGAATCGTGTTTATCTTTGGTAGCATTTGAGAGGTTGCAGCTCATGTTTTGAATTTCCACCTCAAGATGACTTATTAGTATGCCCCAAAAGGCCTTATCACACTCCATCAATTGAATGCCCGAGTCCTGATCTGCGTCAGCGTTTCTCTGTGGACGCACGCGCTGCATACCAGGGTCAGGAGAAATTCTCAAAGTCAACACACTTCTAAAATAGTGCCAGCCGAGGAAGGACATGAACACTCAATTACAGAAATTATATAAATAATTCATGAGACACAATAAGATGTTTTCATCATTTATAACAGAAAGTAATGCATTGATGAAATTTATTTTTACATTTTTAAGCATTTTTTCTGAACAAACAAAAAACAGATGATGAGACACAATAAGATGTTTTCATCATTTATAACAGAAAGTAATGCATTGATGAAATTTGTTTTTACATTTTTAAGCATTTTTTCTGAACAAACAAAAAACAGATATTTTTGTGTGTTTTATACATGCAGGTCACATTGTCCTTGAAATATGTTGTTAATCTGTCTGTGATAGTCACATTGGAGAGGATTAAAATATGTGAACTATGGACTATGATAATTCAAAGTTAAGTAGAAAAGGGATTTTATTTTATACAATAATATTACCAAATCATCATTAAACTCTTAAAAATTAAGGCAACCATTTTGGACTCGCCAAACCTTTTCAGTGAACAGAAAGGATTTTTTTCTTAGTGTGATGAACATTTTAATAAACTTTTCCATTATAAATAACCTTTTGTGCAATAAAACAGTTCTGTGCATATTTAAGGGTTAGTTCTGTCACAATTTACTCACCCTCAAGTCAGGTTGTTCCAAAACCTGTATGACTTTCTTTCTTCTGTTGAACATAAAAGAAGATATTTTGTGGGTAACCAAACAGTTGCTGGTCTCCAAAGTATGAATATATATATGTATGTATGTATGTATATGGAAGTCAGTGGGGACCAGCAACTGTTTGGTTACCAAAATATCTTATTTTATGTTCAACAGAAGAATTTCATACAGGTTTGGAACAACTTGAGGGTGAGTAAATGATGATAGCATTTTCATTTTAGGTGGACTATCCCTGTAAAGGTTCTTAATGGAATCAAGGACAACAATAAAGAGACTTTAAGAGTGTATAGAAGGGCACTGTGCAATCCATCGACTGTGCTAAATCACCAACTTTGCTGTCACTCTTAACACCCAACAGTGGATTGTTCTCAATGTGTTGAGAATCCATGTTACTACAACCTGGATGTTTTCTAGCCCCACTGGTGAACTGGTATCTCACCATCACTCATTTGGTTGGATGTCACAGAAACTCAGATATCCCAGGGAGCCATTGCAAGAAAATGGTTTGTTTGACTCTGATAATCGAACAACTTACCTTTTAAACCATGCGCTATCATGGTCAATAGACCTAAATCTAAGACACTGAATGGAAGTAAATGGAGCTCTATTGCATGGCATGTCTATGTTCATTTGCATTAAATCACTTTGCCTTATTATGTCCCAAACAACTTTTCCCTACAGTACCCTTGGTGAAAATATGCATAAAAATCAGTTCAGTCGCCTCATATAGCAAGTAGGTTCAAAGAATTCTTGTCACAGTGCTGACAGAAATCTTGCTGAGACCACGAAGAGCTGTAAATTACAGCTGTCAGTGGCATCTCTAGTTAAATCTCAAGATGCTTCCTGCTGCACATTGGCAAAGCCAGGTAGCCTCTGAATGGGGTTCACATGTCAACTTAAATTTTAAGACAAATGTATCCAAACAGCTCTTGTGGAATGACATGCACAGATTATCAAGCTTGACAAAATTCTTTTAACAAGTCCATGTCATGCTCAAGCGAGCAGGCCCAGCTTCCTGGCATGCACTAAGGCTCATAATTGGAGTAATAATACCATCTCTACCACAGAGGTGTCCTAAAATCTCATTGCCACCAAAGAGGGGCTCAGAATATGACTGCAGTCACCTTAGGTAATCACTGTTTTGAGCTTCAAAAACAGTCTGGCTACTTCTACAGAAAATAGCAGGACCTGGCTAACCCTATAGGAGATGTATTCTTCTGACTGTGCTGTTTATTTACAACAAAGCTCACTCATTATTCTCAGCGCTAGCAGTGGCGGAAGGGAACAGGTCTGGATTTCTTCTAGAAACTTTAAACACGTTCAATCAACTTTGAGCTTGAGGTAAAAAGCGTAATTTCTGCTCATCAAAGATGTTCTAAGTGGCTTTAAAGCTGTGAAAAAATGTTTTTGTATGTATAATAATAATACTAAAAAACCAAATCATTATTTTTACAGCACGTCTCCCGTATCTGCATAATGATTTGATCTGGCCCATTATCATTGAACAGTAAGCCTGGTTTTCATTATCATCCCTGGCACAACTCCACCATAATTAGATTTTTAAATTTCATTCCCTTTGGCAAGTGCAATTGGTTAAAACAAAAACAATGCTATGAAAGTATCTGGAAATGGTCAACCGTCCCATAAAAAAAAAAAAAATGGAAAAATGAATCAAATTAAACAGAAATTAAGTTGCATAGGCCAGGGGGTTGATTATTTGTAAAATCTGTAGTTTGTGCTGTACAAAATACAACCCAGATGAAATAAAGTGAGAAAGAAATATTCTTTAATTGAATATACATAACACAACTTTGATGAGGATGTCTGACTATGCGATGAACTCACATGGTGGCACTAGAAGATATTGCTACAATAATTTAATGCAAAAGTTATGCACATACCATTAATATATAATGAACTGAATTGTCACAATCACTGTTAATTCAAGAGAGTGTGTATACACTAATGTTAAAAAGTGTGTGGTCATTGTTTTTGTGGTTAATGTTTTTGAAAGAAGTCTCTTATATTCACCAAGACTACATTTATTTAATAAAAACATAGCTGAAATAGTAATATTGTAATATTAGCATTTTCAGCAGCCATCCTGTGAAAGAAAGAGTGTGCCCTGAAGGTATAATGGTGTTTTGGTAATCAACCACTAAATGACACAGATGTCAAAGAAAGGTAAATATTGTTATACATAAGATTGGTTCAAAGTCAACCTTGCAGCCACTGGAAACCAAGTTACTCCTGATGAGTGGTTGGCCTTTTATTGATCATTGCTACATAGTCGATAGCCATTTGTGAGTGTGAATGTGTCTGTTTTATATCAACATAATCATAATATACAGAGCATGTTTCAAGGGCTACTACGTCTATCATTCACATACAAAATATTTACATCTATGATATTACATTGCACATTAAGAGATCTGATGTACATTCTAAATGGGTACATTGTTTATCTGATAATAAACTGAATACACAGTATGAAATTAAATCAAGTCAGTGAAGGATAGTCTGATTTTGTATTTACCTTCACACAGACAGATGTGTGCACACGGCGAAAGAGAGAGAGAAAGACAGAGGACAAAGACACAAAACAGGATAGAGAGAAAACATTACAGCTCACGCTATCTAAATGCAGCAGTGTACAGAGAAAATGCAGAACTGGCCTTGATATCAAAGCTAAAGATGAAGGCTACAGATGGGATTTCCATTTTTCATAATGGATAAAAGTGCTTCAAACTGTCTTGTGTGTTGATTCTATATTTAGAGTTAGTGGGATCAGAATCACAATAACAGTTTGTATAATTATATTATAATAATGCTTAAAAAACCTCACACGTTCCTACTGCCTATGTATGTGTGAGTTTTTTAAGCATTATTATAACATGCTTGGAAAAAGGAGATGAGCAATGTGGCTGTAGAATCATAGCCATAGAGGAAACATTTCCATTTCCACTTGGCCAGAACGTTTTCTATTGGGCAGACACATTTGACCAGTGCAGATCCAGATTTGAATGGTAAATGATTCACATATGTTGTAGGATATTTTGTACTGTTGACAAAAGCTAAGAAAGAAATTAACAAACCATGCATTAAACATGATGGTGATCTGATGATAGATTTGACTGATCTAAGCACTGAAAATATGCAGTTTTCTCCACACTAAAGATGATTCAGATGTTATTTGACAAACTCACCCATTATAGAATGCAAAACCTTTTTAAGAAATATGATGAGATTTGTTTTAGTGAGGAATAAGTTACTAAAAATATATTCCAAGAAAGACTTCCAAGAAAGGGAA